CCTCGAAAAAAAATAAGGTATACTGGCATAGTGTCTGATACACCCAGTAAGTGCAGACAGGTTTCTTTTTTGAATACTTAATAAAAAATGCACGTCAAGTACCTAGCAACAAAAAGCAGAAAGTCTGCGATGTCGTCCACAAAGAATTCCGGCAGGAAGGCGAACTGTTTCGGAGTGACTTTCGACCTCGATACACAAGTAACCCTGAAAAGGAAAATAAAGATTATGTAGAGTACGAACCCCAAGAAAAATGAAAAACAGTAAGGTGGCGCAAAAGTCCACAGCGTCAAGACACGTGCAATCCCTTCAAGTCCCAGCACCAGGAGTTCTTTAACGTATTTCGGAACTCGAGTATTAGAAAGTGACTGATAAAAAGTATGCCAGATGAGAGGTGCTTGACAGGTTTTCAAAAAGTTCCTTGCTTTAACAAAAATACGACTAGCCTTAAGCAATGTATGCTTAATAATTATTATTCGGTGAAATCAGCCCTCCAGAAGAGAAAAGAGCCCGTATCTATATGATGGAACTGATCGAGTATCAGTATCAGTCAGTATTTTTAAGGGAAATATAGGTGGATTAACTTTGAACTCCCTTTTTGTACATGCGTGTTGTCATATCAGAAAATAGCGTCTCAGCGTATTGGCGAGGCCAATTGATATGAGCTGATGACGTGGAACATAGTTAAAAAAGAGCAGACAGTGAAAAAAACTCTTTGGGATTATTTAGGAGAAAAAACTGCCACCCTTACCTTTATCTTCTCCCTTGTACGAACACTGCACGCTACGTAGATTATCTGCAACGTATGTCCATAAACTTGCATATCCCTATATAGGTGCCGTCCTGGTGGCCACATAATCCGACGATAGATAAGAGTCACGTTGCGCGCTTTGTGAGTAATTTAAATGGCTGGTCATGGAAAGATGGAGCCTTCTACTACAAATGACCCCGCGCCAAATTCTGGGGTTTTAGTCACTATCGTGTCCTGGCTTCAACTCTCGCCTCTCAGAAGGTTGGCGCAATTCAAATGTCCCTCTCAATAAGTAAGCCAGGCGATAGTAGTGTCCCTCGATAATCATAGGGGCGATCAGCCTCATAAGTATAAAATGTTTAACAACCGAAATGCTCCCCTCATCTAAGTAAGCAAAATGAAGACATTCGCCTCTAAAAAATGAAGCAAATGAGTGTTTCTCTATGCAGCCGTTGTGTACAAAAGATGACTGAATGTAGACATGCATGACAAAAGCCGTGGAAAAAATATACAACAGATAAACATCGATGAATTTCTGAAAAAAAACATTTCGCACGTATGTGGCGAAGAATGCTCAATCTAAAGCCAGTAGGCTACTGTGCACGAATAAATTTAGGATTGTTTGGTTCGTGCAAACCCCTTTCCCAGGTTAATGAAGTTGGCCTATCTAATTTGAACTCATCACACAAATTCGGTAGATTTTTTGTGCACTTTGTTGCTTTATGACTCATCGGGGATCCACAAACGCGCCGCGCAGGTCGCAGCACTCATGCGTGAGGCTCTGACTACTGCAGTGAACGGAACACACCAATAGCCACGCCTGACTAATTGACAAGCTCGGGCAGGCCACTCACCGTGCAGAGGGGCCGATAATGAGGTACGCCGCCTCATGGCAACTGAGCACTAAACTAAATGCCACTGGCTTGAAAGTAGAACGACGCACTCAGATTCATGGCTTTGGATGCTTACTACTTCACAGGTTAACTTGGTCCTTCTTTAGAATGAGGGAAAGAGCGGTATAGTTTCTGCTCTTATTTGGTTTTTGATGGCCCAGTTCACCCTTTTTCTAGATTTCAAGCTTGGTTCATGTAGACCAACAGCAACTAACGGGATAAGTAACTTTGCTCTCCATCCTGCCTACAGCCCTTCTCAGTTGTCTAGGCTTTTCTTATCATGGAGACATAATGCATGAGACACTAGAGGGTGAGATCAATGCAGCGCAAGTCTGCTATTCAAAAACACTAATTGACGCATAGGTCTGCTCTACGTCTTCGGGAGAGTGACGGAAGGCGTTGTTTGTGGCGGTCTTTTTAAAATCCTTTGAACATTTCACGAAGGGCTCGTTGTCTTGCCGGTTTGCGATTAGGAATATCACCGACCGAAAACCCGAGAGGATACCGAAACCGTGGCTTAATGGTTAGAGGACTGGACTTCCGGCCAACAGGTCGGGGGTGTTGCCACACCAGTAGTTGGGTATAGCTGGCTGATGACGGCCAATAAGCCAGAAATGGCCATTATCGTCTCCCTTGTCTTTGTTGGTAATTTCCTTCTGCCTAGTCTTAAGAGGCCCATAGCAGCTACCCGGCGGAATTCAAACAGCGCTGTGCTGAAACGTTCCTCTACAAAGGGAAAGGAATATGAAAGGGGGGTCAACTTACGTGTCGGCTTCTGCCACGCGCATGATGAACTGTGCCAGAGAGGCGTAGTAGACAGACATGGACTGCAGCAGGCTTTTGTGCATGAGGACGGTCTCGCTGCAGAAGAGGGCCCGCTTCTGACAGGCCAATTCCAACTTGGTACGCTCAAGGAGGCGTTCGGTTTTGGTGATGTGGTCTGCGCGGCCAGCGGAGTGGTGAGGGCAAGATTAGCACAAACAGTGGCAGGGTAAGCGGAAAAGCAATGAAGAGAGGTCAAGCAGAAAAGCGACAACTGAAAGCTGCGGACTGACTTGGTGATTGAAACTAAACAGCGGAGTCTGTGTTAAATTCCATCCCACAGCACCGTCCAGGAGAGAAGTGGGGGGCCTATAAAGTGTCATTCAAATTAGGAAAAGTTCCCAGACTGCGACCTATCAACTAGTTGTTAGTGTTTGTACTGAAAAGTGTACGTCAAGACCATCAGGTGTAAGTTCACCGTCACAGTTAGAGGAGGGCATATATTACTGAACGAAACAAGATTCTTCTAGCTTTCGGTACTATGGGCGGAGCCAATAACAACCCCGTGGCTGAATATATGAGGTCGCTCGGTATAAAAAGTATAATAATACAGGAGAATATCCGAGTTCCAAGAAGCAGTTCGGAAGAAGAAGGAGAAACGATCACTGGAACAAGAGGTTTATTGTATAATAATAATTGTATAATAATATATAATAAGAGTATAATAGTAAGAGTATAATAATACTTTGGTTGTCAGCAAACGTCCTTCAAGTATGCGGGACAGTGCTAGCAGCCTCTGTCTAACGTTTTTAGGCTCTGCAACGCTCACAACTGGAGAAGTCAATCGAAATCCGGGTATTTTTATGTAGATGACCTTAGTTAACTATAAGACACGCAATAGTGAACAATCAATTAAGACATCCAGATGTACAGTAATAGGGTTCTATCCAAAAAAGCACAGGAGATAAAGATTTAGTCGTTTTCTACTGACTTGTTGAAAATGACCCGACGCAGTAGATAATCCGAGTTTTAGGAAGGAAACTGAGAGATCTAATAAAGAAGGGAACGGTCCCAATTGGTTAACACTTGCAATAGAGGCAGGCCCAGGCGTGTTAGGTAGTGCCAAAGGCTGTAGACCGACCTCATAAAGGGAGCGATTGGATTCTGATTCCCATTTAGAATTATTGCCCGGAGCGCATGTGATAAGTCCGGGCAGGGTACGCTTTAGCGGGGCCTTTCTTCCGAAGAAAGACGAGCCGAACAATTTTATCACTCGTCCTCCGGCATAAGGACTGTTCTATAGTTCTTTCAGATAAGGAGATAAGTTGTTACTGATACATTGCATCGATCACTAACCGTTCTACATCAGGTTTCCGACTTTAGAAAATGGATTAAACGGTCAAGGTGATAAGCCCTTCCTTCTTCTTGAACTGCGCACTGTTTAAAGCGCGTCGATTCACAGTTAAATGAAGGTTCCCCTAATGCGGTTGGCACCAACTAGAGACTTCATATGCATGAAATTAAGTATGGTAGCTTACTGCCTACCCGGCTATAAGTCCGGCGGGTACGTGCGTACGATGCCTAAAGATCGAGCAAGGCCAACGTGCACGACAACTGAAATATATTCCTCACCCTGAAGGGGTCCAGAGACTGTCTCAAAAATGCTAATCACACATAAGTGTTCTGGGAGGCAATAGCTAGACGGTAACGTCTATTCGGGTGTGAGCGGTTCTTGGTTAACAGAGCAGAGATGGTCATTTCTGGCCAACCCTTCAGGCGTAAACCCCCAGGTTAGCAATCAGGTTGCCATTATAAAATGAGACATGCAATTGCTCAAAGTTCACTCTCTGCTATGTACTGCACGAAAGTTAAAACAGATGCTGCATGTGGGGTCACCTCTACGGCCGTTTCCTTTACTGAGTAACGTAGAATGCCGGAATACTAGGATGATTAATTTGACGTAATTTGTCTCAGTGAGATTCGAACTGACAGCGGCAAGGATGACGCTTCAGTACAGCCAATGCTCCAACCGCCTGGGCTATGAGACCCTTACCGGGGCGGCGATTTCAATCAAATTT